ACACACAACCTCAGCCCCAGGGTTGTAGGTAAAACACCACTTACGTCTGGTTGTAGCCGTCCGGCTGAAAGCAGGGATCCCAGCCAAAATCCCGAGGGCCCCTGGGCTCCACGATCAGCCCCTGCCAGCAGAAAGCAGAAAATCCCCATGAGCAGCGGTTTTGCGGCGCTTCCCTTGCAGGGAAACGTTTCAAACACAGACCAAAGAGCTACACGCAGCCAGAGCTCACCCTGCGGCCACCACAGGCTCAGAGCACCCCAGGACATAACCAGAATTAGCAGCCCCAAACTCAGTATCCATCATGCTGCCCTAAGTTAACAGCCTCTTCACCCCCACCCCAATGAACAGAGCTAACAACTGCGCTCACATACAGCCCTGCCAGAGGACGGCGAGGGGGCTGAGGAGCCTGAGGGAAGGTGCACAGTTCTGTACCCACAGCCCCCCAGCTGCTCTCTCCCAACAAGCTCCGAGAACATTCAGTGACCCAGGAGCCATTGAAATTGTCCTTAACAGAGCCAATGCTGTTATAAAATTGGTGTCACAGCCCCGCTCCCTCAGCACGTTCCCTTCCCCAGGCACGCCACCTACGTGGGTCTGGCCTTTGAACAGCTTCACCGGCTCCTCTGGGTTTCCAGAGCTGAACGCAAAGGTACAGAGAGCGTAGGCTGATTTGTCCTCGAACCCAGCCAGCAGCTTGTACAGGCCTGAGCGACACAGAAAGGATCCCGGCGTCACTGCCGCCCCCTGGGAGCGCAACACACCCACCTACAGACGGATGGAGGGAGCACCCTGCCCTCACATCCACAAGGAAGAGGAGGAACTACAGGTGGTGACAGAGCTCAGGCAAAGGGATGCTCCTGGCCCAGTCCCTCCTATGACAGAGGACTAAACCCTGCTGTGAATGAGCGTGATGAACACCCGTGCTCGTGACACCAGTGTGGAATTTGCAGTCACACTCTTAACTGGGGGATCAAAGGCAGCCACAGCACACAGGGGAGGTGAGGATTTGTGGAGGGGGGGCTTGCACAAAAGCCAAAGGGAGCAGCGGGTCTTCCAGGTCACACTGATGACAACAAGAAGTTCCCACAAGTCCTGGCACCAGCCTGCAGAGGCAAGAGTCTGGGAATCCAGGGATGATGCTGAAGCTACCGGGGAAAACAGCATCCTGTGAAGAAGGGCACAGATCAGGCTCATTTCAGAACCCAAAGGGACAGACGGGAAAGGAACCAGCTGTGACATGGGCAGCATGGTGGGCGAGCACGGGAAGGGATCCACCTCATTTGGAAAGGACCGAGTTACATGCAGAGCAGCAGCCAGGGAGGCAGTACCTTCTGGTTTGAGTTTTTCCAGGAACCATTTTCTGAAGGGGAAGAAGAGAGGAAAGATTAATTTCTCCTTTTATTTCTCAGAAATACAGGCATCCTTAAGACACTGCTGCCTACATTTTCATAGCCCTTTGGATCGCTCTTAAATGTGCTGCCAAATCACCTCCTTCTGGGCTACTCACCAGTAATGACAGACTGAGCTCTTAAAGCAAACAGAACACGGTGAAAACAGCAGCAGGGTATTTAATTTACTGCAGTACTGGGGTCTGTGTAAATAACCCAGTTCTCTTGTGAGCACTGACATGTCAAAACACATTTCTCAGCTCAACTTGTTCACATCTTACACCCAGTTCTAGTGCCAACCTCAACATATAAAGCTTTTATGTCCCTGCTTAGCTCAGCAGAGCGAGTTTGGAAGAATTAATCACACGAAAGGTGAATTCCAGGAGCTCAGGCAGTATTTTACTAGAGGAGTTACACTGCAATGTAATAATGTTGCTGGATTAAAGCAATCCCTCTGAGAACCTACAGGCCATTCACCCCAGAGTCCTGCT